AGCTCGTGTTGATGGCAAAACCTTCACCTATTATTTTGATGAGTGATGTATCCAGATCCTGTTACAACATTATGAGGCCACAAATGGAAAAGTAAAAACAAATGGGAGTACAGTATAGAAACAATGTTTCCAGAGGCATTTAAAAAGCATTTCCAGTCACTCTCTCTCTTTTTGTTTTTCTTTAAATCTTCTCCCAGAATGTACCGTATAATGACATTGATGCCTGGTCTTCATTTTGTTTTTTAATAGAGGACATGGCCCTTGTATAGTTTGTGGCCATGACTTTAAAATTTTTGTATTTCCATGAGTATCTTGCAGGACAATTTAAAAAAATAGAGGGATGGGTGCAGTGGTTCATGCCTATAATCTCAGGACATTGGGAGGCAGAGGCAGGAGGATTGCTTGAGCCCAAGAGTTTGAGGCCAGCCTGGGCAACATAGTGAGACTCCACTCCTACAAAAAATGAAAAAGCCAGATATGGTGGTGCGTGCTTATAGTCCAAGCTACTTGGGAGGCTGAGTTGGGAAGATGACTTGAGCCTGGGAGGTCGAGGCTGCAGTGAACCATGATCACCGCACTTCAGCCTGGGCAACAGAGCAAGACCTTGCCTCAAAAAAAAAAAAAAAAAAAATAGAAACCACTTTTTATAGAATTTCTTTTGGACAATTCTACACTTTAAAAATATGCTTGTGCTGTTTTCAGTGATCTGAAATAAGAATAATTCCCTAGGGATTTGTATCATTTTTTTTTTTAACTCCTAAGAAGAAAATGTGGACAGGCAGACTTCAAGTATAACATTCATATAGTTAATTAAGTTGCCATTTATTTTGCTAACCAGAGAGGAACCATTAATTTTGTCAAAAAGTTGTAACACTTGAGTGTCTTTAAAAAATCCAGTAAAACATAGCTTCCCACTTCATACTGAAGAAAATTGTCCTGATAGTTTTTTCTCCATTATGCAACTGGGAAGAGCCAAACAGAGAATATTTTCCTTGTGCTGGGGCTGGAATAACGAAGAAAGCCACAGACCTTGGGTAAATTACTCTATTTCTCTAAGAGTGTTGAAAATCTGTTTTAAATTAAGAACTGATGGAGTGAGCAGCACTATTTTTATAGCAAGGGTGATTTAAAAAAATATTCCTTGTAAAAACATTACATGAAAAATTTTAGTTTTAGTTTTTGTTAAAATAAGATTTTATTGCCTTTCTACCAGAAGAATAGAAATAGGAAATTGCAAAAGGCAGCAATTTCTCCTTTCAGTACAGTCTCCCAAAAGTAATCCCTTTTAACAATATGTAATAAGTGATGTGTTGACATGACTGTTAAGACTATTATGAAAAAGCTAAAGAAAGCAGCATGAAAGCAAGATTGACAGACTCATGCAGGGAAACAAAGGCTAGTTCCTGGCTCACTCTCCAAAGGGCACTCCTGCATGATCCTCCACAGGTTTAAACTCATTCTTAGAGTATGATCACCTTTCTGCTTTCTGGGTACTTTTATATCAAGGCTTCAAAATGCTTTATAAATATATGCACCAGAAAAAAAGTACTTTTAAGGGTCTTATTGGATAAAGTAATTTACCTTAGCTGTGGGCTGTCTAGACAATGGGACATCCAAATGCAATGATATTTTTGTGGACTCTGGAGATTGCACAAGAACCAGCCTCTGTGTTTGGTCCATCCTGCTCACCACTAAAATGTGAATTGTCCAAATTCTTTTGCGCTGGCAGCTCTGTGCTGAGCTCAGCCATCAGGACCTTCCCTGCATGAGGTGAGGGTGCTTAGTGATTTTTTTTTTTTTTTTTTTGAGACGGAGTCTCGCTCTGTCGCCCAGGCTGGAGTGCAGTGGCGCGATCTCGGCTCACTGGAAGTTCCGCTCCCCCGGGTTCACGCCATTCTCCTGCCTCAGCCTCCCGAGTAGCTGGGACCACAGGCCCCCGCCACCACGGCCGGCTAATTTTTTTTTTTTTTGTAGCTTTAGTAGAGACGGGGTTTCACCGTGTTGGCCAGGATGGTCTCTCTCCTGTTCTCGTGATCCGCCGGTCTCGGCCTCCCAAAGTGCTGGGATTACAGGCGTGAGCCCCCGCGCCTGGCCGGTGCTTAGTGATTTTGTTTCACATCCACATTGCCACTCCACTCAGAAGTTTGGCAGTTTCCAGGGGTGTTTCCCTGGGCAGGACACAGAACTCTGCTGTTTATGGAAACTGCCACCTAAACATCCTTTTAAACTCAGGGAATCCGACTCCCTCCTGGAGCGAGACCAGATCTCCTTTTGACCTCAAAGCCTCAAATACCCCACCAACCACTAATAGGACACTATTTTATTCCCACTCTAACCCTGGAATCCACAAGTTATTAACACTTCTCTGAGCAAGAGTGCCCAGCATTCAGAAAAGATTAGCCAGGTGTTATTTTCATTTGAGCAAACAACCTTCTCATTCCTTGGCTAATGAGTCTATATAGCGGTGGGGAAAATTTTATTAATATATTATTTTGGGGGGACCATTTGTCAATGACTGTAGATTACCATAGATATAAAATGGGAATGCCACTTGCAGTTGATGTGGTATCTTCACTGAAACAGCAAAATAAAACATAGCCCTTGGCTCGTAAGTAGTTACTGATCTAGCAAATGCTTTTTGACATCTCTATCAGCTAAGTGAATAAGAAGCAGTTTGTATTCAAGTTGCAGGGATAGCAGGATACTTTACTGATTTCCCTAAGGGCTATCTACATCAACTCACCTGTTTCTCTTATAATGTGGTTTGGAGGGAACAAAACTTTATGCTAGTCCATTACTTTTATGAAATTTTGCTACTTGGACTGTATGAGCAGGAACTATCAAGAATCTATATGCCTTAAGTAAGATACATGAATGCTAGAGGGTACCAATTCAGTTGCAAGGACCTGTCACATAGGCAAGGTTATTAGGTATCCAGTCATCTTGTTTGGGTACTTTGGGGTATCCCTACTAAAGTGAGATATAAGTTTCTGCATCTTGCCTGGTCCACTGCAAGGAAGGAGGTACAGCGTTTTGTAAGCGTCTTTGGATTTGGGAGGCTTCATATACCACACATGGAGACGCCGCCCCTGGTATTTGCTGGAAAATCCATTAGGCTGCCAGTTTTGAGTAGGGTCACACCAAGAAAAGCAACAAAAGGCTCTTCAGCAAGTCTAGGCTGCTTCACTCTTCTAACCTGTTAGACTCAAGGCACTACACTTTAGTTTCAGACAGCGATGTTATAGAGAGCTTCTGGCAGGCTCGCAGAGCAAGACTGTCAGGTGTTTGGAATAAGACTTGGCCTCTTCTGACAACTATACTTGACCTGAAAAACAACTTTTAGTTTGTTGCTGGGTGAGTCAAAGACTGAAAACCTGACTTTTGAAAATAAGAAAATATGCATCATAAATTTAGACATGCACATATCATTCCAGTGTAAAACGAAAGTGTTATGTATGACACAGGGCCAAGAAGGGTCAGGAAGCACAAATAAACTGCATGAGTGAGTGGTTCAGACTTCCACAGTAGCTGCTGTTACTACTCTCCTGCTTTTCCCTTGGACAATAGCTCCAATTCGTTGAGGGAATTCTCTATGACCAGCTGAAGGAGAAGAAAGAATGGGCCTGGCTTATGGATGGATGGCATGTGGACCTCTAACAGAAATGGATAGCCACTGCATTACAGCCCCGCATAGGTGGTACTGAAAGATAGTAAGGAAAGAAAATGTTCTCAGGAGGCAGAATTTTGGGCAGTCTTTTGGGTATCTATTTAATGTGAAAGGGGAGATAGCTCAAAGGGTGAATTTATACAAACTGATTGGCCAGTGGTTAAGGAATTGGAAAGAACAAAAGAAGAAGAGTGGTGACAAGGTCTAGGGAGATGTCTGTGATGGGCCTCTCAGCATGGGCACAGAGTGGGAAGATATTTGTGTCCCATGTAAATGCCCATTAGAGGGCATCCAAGTGGTGAATGAGTGCTTCGAATAATTAAATGGATAAGATGATCTCTCTTAGCGATGTCAGTCTGCCTATTTCCCTAGCCATTTATATGATTGGTCAATGGAGGTATATAAAGTGAACATGGTGGCAGGAATGGAGGCTATGCATGGTCTCACCAGTATGGGCTCAGTCTCACCATAACTGATTTGTCTATGCCATCATTGAGTATTCAATCTGCCTATAGCAATATGAACCTGAAATATGACACCATTCATGATATTCAGGTAAGTCTCCTGTGGAATGGCGTATGTAGACTCATTTATGGCACCATATGGAGACAAATCTTGTGAGGACAGGGTGTTACTTATATGATGCAGTATATTCCTTAAACAAGTGGCTAATATAAGTTCCTAAGCGTGTGAAACCATATGTCCAAGATTCAAGGGCTGGAGGTGAGAATGGACTTTATTATACCAAATATTTGTTTTGGGGAATGTTTTCCTCACATCCTTGCAATCTTGGATTCTGTGGGTTTATAGTACCAGAAGGAGAAATGAATCCATAAGGAAATACAATAATAGTTCCATTGAATTAGAAGCTGAGATTGCCCACTGGCCATTTTAGGCAGATGAAGCAAAGACAGAGAAGAGCTTATTGCATGTACTGGCTGGGTAATTGATTGATCCTGATTACCAAGGAGAAACAAATATGCAGTGGGGATGAGGAGGATTATTTATGGAACCCCAGTGGGATTTGTGGCTACTTAGGACTTTATCACCCCGTGGCCCTTGGCAATAGAAAATTGTGGCAGTGTAGTAAAGATAGGACCACCAAAGGGCTCAGCTCCTATAGGACTAAAGTTTGACTCAGGCAATCAGGTTAAAAACCCATTCAACTAAGATACTTTAATAGAATAAGGAAACATGAAATGGGCATTGGAAGAAAGATGTTGTGGTTAACAACTTAGACATACTGACCAGTTACAGAAGCAGAGATTTTAACAGCTATGTTCTCTAATCATTTTTTCTTGTCCCCATGTTTCCTCCCACTCCTTTTATGAAGAGCACTGCTGATGGCTAACATTTTTAGGTTGCAAGTGATCTGGCCTTGGAGATACGGTAACTGGTTGGGAACACAAAGTTGTCACCCAAGCAAAGGATGACAGTGGATGTCAAGAAGCAAGACTATGCTGGATCCTTTCTGCTGTTCTACCAGATCCATCCTCCACCCTCATCTATCATTGTCTGTGTGGATCTTGATCAATGGACTTTGCCTCTGGCTCCTGATTGGGTTTGCACAATGGGAAGCAGAAGAAAGTGAAGTTGTGGCTCCTTCTTTTCATAGAGCTGCAGGTTGGACATGCCCGTTTCCTCAAGTCTACAGCCCTTTTCAGCTGGAATTCGCCAGCTAACAACTTCCTCCAGGTTTAGATAGCTACTAAATTATCTTGCCCCTTCAGGGTTAAGGGGTAATGGGTTCCCCTCTATTAGTAGCCAGTGGGTAATGAACTATCTCTGGTTTGTTCCTTAAAACATGCCCATAATAGTCTCTTTAAATAATTCTCCTCAAATTACCTGGCCTGAGTAGGTCTCACTGGAACTTTGATTCATGCACACACTTAGTTCGTTCTTTGCAACCACTCAATGGCATAGGTGGGTACGTGATGTCACTTTCTTGCTTAAAATGTTTTAGTGCCTTGTCATTGTAATTGAAATAAAACCCAAAGAGTATGGTTTGCAAGGCCATACTTGACCTGGTGTCTGCCTCCCTCTCCAGGCCAATCTCTCCCCACTCTCCTTCAACCCTGTTGCAAGTCGCGTTAAGATCCCCTGTGGCTCTTCCTCTTGAGGTGCTCATCCCCGAGATCTGCCTGCCTGTACTTCAAATTTCTTTTTTTTTTTTTTTTTTTGAGACGGAGTCTCGCTCTGTCGCCCAGGCTGGAGTGCAGTGGCGATCTCGGCTCACTGCAAGCTCCGCCTCCCGGGCTTACGCCATTCTCCTGCCTCAGCCTCCGGAGTAGCTGGGACCACAGGCGCCCGCCACCTCGCCCGGCTAGTTGTAGAGACGGGGTTTCACCGTGTTCGCCAGGGTGGTCTCGATCTCCTGACCTCGTGATCCGCCCGTCTCGGCTTCCCAAAGTGCTGGGATTACAGGCTTGAGCCACCGCGCCCGGCCTCTGTACTTCAAATTTCAATTGAAATATCACTTCCTCAGAGTCTTTCCCTAGCTATTCAGTCAAAAGCAGTCATCTAAACACTGTCACATTATCCTATATTAACTCTTCTCACAGGACTTAATAACAAGCAATTACTGATATTTTCTCGTCCATTTTTATACCTTTAATCATCTATCAATCACATCTGTCTGCCTGCCTTCCTTCCTTCCTTCCTTCCTTACCTCCTTCCTCCTCTCCTCCCTCCCCCCTCCCCTCCCTCCCTCTTTCTTTTCTTTCTTTTCTTCTTTCTTTCTTCTTTCTTTCTTTCTCCTCCTTCCTTCCTTCCTTCCTTCTTCCTTCCTTCCTTCCTTTTCTCCTTCCTTCCTTCCTTCCTTCCTTCCTTCCTTCCTTCCTTCCTTCCTTCTCTCTCTTCTCTCTTTCTCTTGCTTCCTTGCATTCTTTCTGGCTTTCTTGTTTTCTTTCTTGTTTTCCTGCTTTTTTTTCACAGGATCTCATTCTGTTGCCCAGGATGGAGTCTGGAGTGCAGTAGTGTGATCATGGCTCACTGCAGCCTTGACCTCCCTGGGGTCAGGTGATGCTCCTGCCTCAGCCTCCCAAGTAGCATGGTGTGCACCACCATGCCCAGCTAATTTGTGTGTGTGTGTGTGTGTGTGTGTGTTTAGAGCCTGGGTTTTGCGGTGTTGTCCAGGCTGGTCTTAAACTCCTGGGCTCAGGTGAGTCTCTCACCTCGGCTTCTCAAAATGCTAAGATTACTGGCATGAGCCACTGCACCTGGCCCCACTATTTCTTTAGAAGAAAAACTTCCTGAGGACTAGCTTTTAATATGTGTTGATATTAAATTAAAAAGCAGAGATTAGCTCCATCCTATAGATAAGGTAACAGGAGTTCAGAGGTTACAGTTATTAGTGTGAGAATCAGCGCCTATGACTTCTGATATCCATATACCAGGGTCTATTCCTCATCTGATTTCCCAAGCCTAAAAATGTTGTGGGAAAGACATGTAATCAATCTAAGTATCTATCAATGAATGAATGGATAAAGAAAATGTGGTATATGTACACAATGAAATAATCAGCCATAGAAAGGAAAAATGCCATTTGCAACCGTCACGGACGAACCTAAAGGATATTATGTTAAATGAAATCAGCCAGGCACAGAAAAACAAATATCTCATGATCTCACTGATACGTGGAATCTAGAGAAGTTGATCTCGTGGAAGCAGAGAGCAGTGGTAACAGTGGTTACCTGTGGGATGGTTGGTCGGGAGGAGAGATGGGGAGAAGTTGGTCAAAGGATACATAATTATAGTTAAATAGGAAGAATACATTTTAAGAGAACTATTTTATGGCAAGGTGACTGTAGTTAATGATGCTATCATGTATTCTTGGAAAATGTAAAGACAGTGGACGTTATGTGCTCTTAACACAAAAATGATAACGGTGTTAGGCAATGCGTCTTGTTAATTAGCTAGATTTAGCCTTTCCACAATGCATATGTACTTCAAACCATCATGTTGTACATGATAAAAACATGCAATGTACTCTGTCAATTTTAAAACATAAATTTAAAAGGTGCAGGAGAAAAATAAAATTAAAATGCTATGGGAGATGAGCTATGGGAGGTAGTGAGCACATCTTAACTTATGTGAGACAAAACTCCTGGAAAAATAATGGGGAGCCTTCTATCTCCTTAGCCATGCTAGATTTAGAAATGAATTGTTCTCCAATACTAAATTACCATTTCCCAAAAGGGAACACAAAGCTGTTGAACAATTCAGTAAGATGTTAAGAAGACATTCCATGATTTAGCAGCCAAAATAACTTTGTTAAATATTTGGTTAATGTCTCTTTACTGTAGGAATTCCTAGAGCCTTTAATATGTTTCTTGTGAAGGAAGGCAGATGTACTATGCAAAGCTACCCCAATTGATTAGAATAGAAAATACTTTATGAGAATCCTATTAATATCTCATAGAACATGCATTTCCTGGACCAAAGTTGAGTAAACACAGAATTAAATCTTTAGTGATAGACATCACATTGGCAGAACAGTCTCATTATAAAGATAAATTTAATAATGAATTATATGTAGAGAAGGAAGAGGGAGTTTATATTGGTGTCTTCTGAGTTTATATTATGTTTATATTGGTGTCCTCTGAATTTTTTTCTTTTGTGTTATTTATTCAGTTTCATGTGAAAGTCTTTTTCTTTCTTTTTTTTATTATACTTTAAGTTCTGGCATACATGCGCAGAACGTACAGGTTTGTTACATAGGTATACACGTGCCATGGTGGTTTGCTGCACCCATCAGCCTGTCATCTACATTAGGTATTTCCCCTAATGCTATCTCTCCCTTAGCGCCCCAACCCCAACAGGCCCCATATGTGATATTCCCCTCCCTGTGTCCATGTGTTTTCATTGTTCAACTCCCGTTTATGAGTGAGGACATGAGGTGTTTGATTTTCTGTTCTAGTGTTAGTTTGCTGAGAATGAGGTTTCCAGCTTCATCCATGTCCCTGAAAGGACATGAACTCATTCTTTTCTATGGGTGCATAGTATTCCGTGATGCATAAGTGCCACATTTTCTTTATCCAGTCTGTTATTGATGGACATTTGGGTTGGTTCCAAGTCTTTGCTATTGTGAACAGTGCTGCAGTAAACATATATGTGCATGTATCTTTATAGTAGAATGATTTAAAATCCTTTGGGTATATATGCCATAATGGGATTGCTGGGTCAAATGGTATTTCTAGTTCTAGAACCTTGAGGAATCACCACACTGGCTTCCACAATGGTTGAATTAATTTACACTCCCAACAGTGTAAAACGTTCTTATTTCTCCACATCCTCTCCAGCATCTGTTATTTCCCAACTTTTTAGTGATCGCCATTCTAACTGGCACGAGTCTTTTTCTTTTTTCCAAGTATGTGTCTGCCAAGTTTTTATTTCCCTCATCAAACCATGTATTATTTCTGACTATTCTGGTAGAAGTGTTGAAACATTTTTAAGCCTATTGCAAATGTCTTCTGTCCAGATCCAGATAATTTCTACAGGAGTCTGATCAATATCTCGTTACTGCCGGGGCAGCCTGCACTGCTGTAGTTTGTAGTCTATTTGCTTATTGTAGGAATTATATCATTAAGAAGACTTAAGGTGTAAAACATTGAGTGACAAAGATGTTTCAATGAGGAAAAAAGGGACTTCAACTAGAATGTAAAGAGCACAAGAATAAAGTCAAGGAAGGAAGAAAGGAGAGAGGGAGGAAGGAAAGGAGGGAGGGAGGAAGGGAGGGAAGGACAAGGACAAAGCCTAAACTTGCTAAAATGCTGGGATAATTGGAACAGAGAGGTCCTATTGCTAGAGAAAGCAAGTTAGATGGTCACCCTATTTATGCCATTTTTAGCTATTCTGCTCATTGGTATGTACTTAATAGAAATATGTGCACATGTGAAATGAGAAATATATAAGAATGTTTAAAGCAGCATTATTTATAATAGACCTAGAGTGGAAATAACTAAAATAGGCATCAACAGTAGAATGGAATACCATGCAGCAATGGAAAAGAATAAACTACAGCTATATGCTACAACATGAACATATCTGAAAGCATAATATTAATTTCCTTTAATATAAATGTCAAGAACAGGCAAAATTAAATTATAATGTTAGATGTAATAATCACCTTTGAGGATGGTGTAAGCAATTGATTAAGATAGTTTCAAGGGACTTCTGTGGTGCTGGCAATATTTTATTTCTTTTTTTTAATGTGGTAAAAAACATAAAATTTACCATCTCAACCATTTTTAAGTGTACAGTATAGTAATGCTAACTATAGCTCATTGTTTTGGCAGATTTTTTGAACTTTTCATCTTGCAAAACTGACTCTATACCCACTGGTCAAGTGATCTTCAACAAGGGCACTAAAACTATAAAATGGGGAAATAATATTTTCTTCAACAAATGGTATTGAGAAAACTGAATATCCATATACAAAAGAATAAAGTTGGACTCTTACCTTATACCATATTTTAAAATGAACTCAAAATGGGATTAAAGATCTGAAACTTTAAAACTCCTAAACTAGTAGGGAAGAATCTTTACAAAGCTGAATTTGGCAATGATTTATTGCCTGTGACACCAAAAGCACAGGCAATGAAAGCAAAAATAGACAAATGGAACTACATCAAACTAAAAAGCTTCTGCACAGCAAAGAAAACAATCAACAGAGTGAAAAGGCAAAAATGGGAGAAAACATTTGCAAATCATATATCTGGGAAGGAGTCAATATCAAGAATATATAAAGAACACCTGTAACTTAACAAAAACAACAACAAAAATAACTCAATTTAAAAAATTGGCAAAGGACTTAAATATATATTTCTCCATAGAAGATATACAAATGCCCAATAAGCATATGAAAAGGTGTTCAACGTCACTAATTATTTAGAAAACTCATGTCAAAGCCAAGTGAGATATCACTTTATACCTATTAGCATGGCTGCCATTTAAAAAAAAACAAAAAACAGAAAATAACAAGTGCTGGCAAAAATGTGGAGAAATTGGAACCCTTGTGCACTGTTAGTGGTGATGTAAAATTGTTCAATCCCCATGAAAATTTGTCTCAGGACTCTATTCTGGTCCACTGGTCTGTATGTCTGTCTTTACATCAATACCATACTGTTTGGATTGCAGCAG